TGCCTGAACCCAGGAGGCGGAGGTTGCGGTGAGCCGAGATCGCGCCATTGCACTCCAGCCTGGGTTCAGGCAATTCTCCTGCCTCAGCCTCCTGAGTAGCTGGGATTACAGGCACGCGCCACCATGCCCAGCTAATTTTTTGTATTTTTAGTAGAGACGGGGTTTCACCGTGTTGACCAGGATGGTCTCGATCTCTTGACCTCATGATCCACCCGCCTCGGCCTCCCAAAGTGCTGGGATTACAGGCTTGAGCCACCGCGCCCGGCCTCCGGCCTCTATTTTTTAAATAAAAAAATAAATATTCCAACTTAGACCTGACCAATCCATCATGCCTCATCAATCCACCATGCCTCATTGCACAATCCCTATCTACATAAAATGATGAGTTTGGTTTTTTGTTTGTTTGTTTGTTTGTTTGCTTTTTGAGACAGAGTCCTGCTCTGTCACCCAGTCTGGAGTGCAGTGGCACTAGCTCAGCTCAGTACAACCTCCGCCTCCTAGGTTCCAGCAATTCTCCAGCCTTCACCTCCTGAGTAGCTCATATTACAGACGCGTGCCAACATGTTCCAGCTAATTTTTGCATTTTTTGGTAGAGACAAGATTTCACCATGTTAGCCAGGATGGTCTTGAACTCCTGACCTCAGGTGATCCACCCACCTTGGCCTCCCAGAGTGCTGAGATTACAGGCAAGAGCCCCCGTGCTTGGCCAGTGATGAGTTTTAAGAGGCTATCTGACCCACGGCAGTCCACAGAAGAAGAAAGGGGAATCCTGTGGACCCCCTACATAAGAATAGTACCCCAACTCATAGGCCCTATAGAAGGGCTGATGTCTCCAAGCTCCTCAGCTGCCAGAAATGACCTCTTTCCTCTCTTCCCCCATGAATGTCCCCTCCCTAAAGCACTATCTCAGCCTATAGAGACCCAAGGAAGGGAAAGGGAAGACTGGCCTCAGACTTCAGTGCCCATCTTTCTGGGGGAACAGGTGGCCCCTTTCTGGTCTGTTTCTCCCAGGGCCCCCATTCTGGATAGTTCACAGCAGCAGCAGGTAAGAGGAGTTTGCCAGCTGCTCTTCTCTCCACCCCAGGACAGCTTGTCTCTTTCTCTCTTCTACCCACCTCCTCTCCCAGAATCCAGGCCGCCAGATGGCCTGGGCAGGCTGTATTTATTTGGGGCCATGGAAACCTGCAGCTTCCTTTTCCTATTGCCTTGGGTCAGGTGCAGGGCTGGAGCCCAGCCTCAGAGCAATGATGTCATGGAAAGGTTCTGACTTTATTACTCATAATCCCTTAGCCCCCATCTGAGTGAATGCCTGATTTTGCTCCCTGAGCAGTTATTCCAGTTGCCATGGAGATACCGCTATTCGCTTTGAGGTCTTGGGACTAAGTCAGATAGGGAGAGACCCAGGAGACTCCTTCCAACCAACTGCCGCCCCTTCCTAATCTAAGCTTATAAAGCCATTGTTTGGAAAGTGGTTTATTCCATCTCAAAGATTTGCTGTAGCAATGATGTTAAGATGGTAAAGGCTTGGTTTGATGGCAGTCTCCTGTTTCAATCAGCCAGCATCCCCAGGCTGCTAAGTTGTTTGCTACGCTTTGGGACGTTACACTGTCCATTGTCTCTACTAACCCCAGGACATGCAGCTTCTTTTGTTTTGTTTTGTTTTGTTTGTGGGGGTTTTTGTATTTTGTTGTTGTTGTTGTTGTTATAAAACGGCTTCTCGTTTGTTCTTTCAGGATGCATTTATTTAGCTTTCTCCTAAAAATAGAACATAATTATGATTTTTCCTAAAAATAGAACTCTTTATTAAGAAACCACCGCTGGCCGGGCGCGGTGGCTCAAGCCTGTAATCCCAGCACTTTGGGAGGCCGAGGCGGGTGGATCACGAGGTCAAGAGATCGAGACCATCCTGGTCAACATGGTGAAACCCTGTCTCTACTAAAAATACAAAAAATTAGCTGAGCATGGTGGCGCGTGCCTGTAATCCCAGCTACTCAGGAGGCTGAGGCAGAATTGCCTGAACCCAGGAGGCGGAGGTTGCGGTGAGCCGAGATCGCGCCATTGCACTCCAGCCTGGGTGACAAGAGTGAAACTCCGTCTCAAAAAAAAAAAAAAGAAAGAAAGAAACCACCGCTAGCATTACTAATAATTACGAGCATTTATTTAGGTCTGTTTTCACTTAACCACATTGCCTTTCAACAAAGTAACTTAACTAAGGTTTAGCTGTTTTCAAACACTGCGCTCTATTTTGAATCTTTTTCAGAATTAGAGCTTGTCTGGAGTTCATCCCTTAACCGCCTATGAAAAGGCTCTAGTTGGCCGGCAGTTCTCTGAATTCTCTTCCTACCTCCCCAGGCTCCCCCTCTCTCCTGGCTGGAAAAAAAGCACCATCTTGCTCCATAAAGCTGGGGGGCGGGGGATGATGTTCGACGTTTTGGAAACATTTCTTTCGGTGACCTGCCTCCTTCTCCTCCCATCTGGTATTTGTCCTGCAGAGCAGCTGGGTATAAGGCATTACACACACGTGCTCGGCGGGGAGTTTGCTCATAGGCTGACATGTAAAAAGAGCCTAGCGTTCCCTAACACTCAGCTCTACCAGAGCTCACCTTTCAAAAACACATTCCCACAGAATTCATTTTATCAATACTCATGGGGTTCACACGATGTGCCACGTTCTGGGTGCTGGGGATACAGCAGGGAGCTGGTGCCCTCCTGGAGCTCACATTCCGGCTAGGAAACAGCAATAAGACAATTAGGACTGAGTGATTTTTTTTTTTTTTTTTTTAATTAAAATTTAGAACTACCACTCAGACTAGGTTTTTTTTAAACAAAAAGAAAAAAGACAAAGTAGAGCAGAGTAAAGGGGCTCGGAAACACGGGGCAGGCGGGCGGGAGATGCCCCAGGCTGGCCGGGCAGGCCTTGCTGATGTCTGATTTGAGCGGTGGACGGTCCAGGCGGGCGGCACCGACACTGACAGGGAGAGAAGTGGTATTTCTGGGGAGCACGAGATCGGGGCACTCTTCCCGTAGGAGCTCGCTGTCTGGCTACCGTCTCCCCCCGCCAACCAGGCCTCCCCGAGGCAGCCGGCCGGGGAGCATCGCCGGGACCCCAGCTCGCCGCCTCCCCTCGGCGGGCCCTAGAAGCTGCGCGGAACCAAATCTTGAGAGCAGCGCGAGCTTGCGGAGCGCGGGGAGGAAGCGCCCGCCGGAAACAGTCGCAAAACCAGAGCATGGCGGCCACCAGGTGTCTGCGCTGGGGCCTGAGCCGAGCCGGAGTCTGGCTGCTCCCACCGACCGCAGGGTGCCCACGCCGGGCTCTACACAAGCAGGTAGACGGCACTGAGTTCAAGAGCATCTACAGCCTGGACAAGCTCTATCCCGAATCTCGGGGCTTGGAGACCGCCTGGAGGGTCCCGGTGAGCCAGGAAGGACTGGACGGAAGGGGCGTTTTGTCCGGCTGTTGGGTGACTTTAGGAACCCCAGGCCCCATTGGCCGGATGTGGAGCTGTGTCGGGGGGCTACGTGATGGTCGCCGCGAGAGGGGGCTGGCTCTCCGCGCAAACCTGGCCGGGAGTGGGGTGCTCGCTGTGACGCGAGCTGTGCGGGAGCCAGGAAGGCTGGCTGGGTATGCTTCCTTCGGGGCCGCCAGCTTTTCCACATTCGTTTCCAGGCCTTCAAGACCAAATTCCAGTCCCAAGGGGAAATAGCATTCTGGCTTTCCAAAGCGGACATAAAGGCAGGAGGCTGCCAAGATGTTTGCTACCCTTTGGGACGTTACACGGTCCATTGCCTTTAGAAGCCCCAGGACAGGCCGGGCGCGGTGGCTCAAGCCTGTAATCCCAGCACTTTGGGAGGCCGAGGCGGGTGGATCACGAGGTCAAGAGATCGAGACCATCCTGGTCAACATGGTGAAACCCCGTCTCTACTAAAAATACAAAAAAATTAGCTGGGCATGGTGGCGCGTGCCTGTAATCCCAGCTACTCAGGAGGCTGAGGCAGGAGAATTGCCTGAACCCGGGAGGCGGAGGTTGCGGTGAGCCGAGATCGCACCATTGCACTCCAGCCTGGGTGACAAGGCCGAAACTCCGTATCTACAGAAGCGAGACAGGCAATAGTATAGAGAAGCCCCAGGACAAGCAAATAAAACGGCTTCACGTTCATTCCTTCAGGATGCATTTATTTAGCCCGCTGAGTGCAGACCTTGCAGCAAGCCCCGGAGCAAGAAAGATAAGACCCACCCAAATCCATTGAGCTTCCACTTACAGGACTGGAAGAGAATATTCATTCATTCATTCATTCATTCATTCACTCAACAAAAGCTGTGCGCACTGTGCTAGTCTGGGGCATGGAGTAGTGAACAATTTTAAAGCTTGTGGAGCTTGTGTTCTAGTGGAGGGAGACAGGCAATAGTATAGAATGTGTGAGGTGGTACTTTGGAGAAAATAAAGCCAAGAAGGAAGAAGTAGTGCCAGAGGTAGGGAGTAGGGTTGCAATTTTAAGTAGGATTGTCTGGGAAGGCCCTCAATGAGAAGGTGACATTTGAGTGAAGACCTGGAAGAAGCCAGACAGCAAGTCATGAGCATAGTGGGGAGATGAGCATCCCAGGCAGAGGGAAGAGCAAGTGTAACAACCTGGAGGCAGTAGCAGATCCCACGTACAGCTCAGCAGGGGAGTCAGGAGGGAAAGCTAGAGAGGGATGGCTGGGAAAGGCCTGTTTCCGGAACTTACTGGCCTCCAACCTTTCCTCTGAATGCAAGGGAGACCTTTTGGAGAACTTGAGGCAGGGGAATAGAATTATCTTAGTTTTACAAGGATCACTCAGAGAGCCTTATAGAGAACAGATAGAGGATGCCACGATCACAGAGACAAGTAAGGAGATTGCAATATATAGGTAAGAGATGATAAGCAGGGTGGAATCAGTAGGAGTCATGAGAATTGGTCAGATCCTAGACATATTTTAGAGAGAAAGCCTGCAAGATTTGCTGATTGGATGTAAGAAGTGAGAATAAAAGAGAAATTGAAGTCTGGGTTTTTTTTTTGTTTTTTTTTTTTTTCCTTTGAGACAGGATCTCACTCTGTCATCCAGGCTGGAGTTCAGTGGCATGATCTCAACTCACTGTAACCTCTGCCTTCTGGGTCCAAGTGATTCTTATGCCTCAGCCTCCTGAGTAGCTGGGATTATAAGCATGTACCACCACGTCCAGCTCAATTTTTTTGTATTTTTAGTAGAGACAGGGTTTCACCATGTTGGCCAGGCTGCTCCTGACCTCAAGTGATCTGCCTGCCTCAGCTACCCAAAGTGCTGGGATTACAGGCGTGAGCCACCATGCCCAGCCAGGACTGGGGCCTTGAGCAATGAAAGGATTGAGTTACTATTCACTGAGATGAGAGAGTGGCAATAGCATTCATTTGTTTGTTCATTCAGTCAATAAAATGTTTATCGTATACCTACTGTGTCAGGCACTACTTCAGTCTAGCATATACTGCCGTGATAAACAAAATAGACAGGATCTCTCCTTCATGGAGCTTAATTCTAGTGGAAAGAGCAGACAGTAAACACACAGGGAAAACATCAGGTAGTGAGAAGTAGTGTAATGAATAGGCCAAGATGCTGCAGCAGAGTGCTGAGGCTACCTCAGATTGTTAGTAAGGGAAGTCCTCTGAGGAGGTTTGAGGTTTGAGTCCATTAGACATCTGAGAAGAGACATTGAGTTGGATATATGAGTGTGGAGTTGAGAAGAGAGGTTTGAGTTTGAGCCAGAAAGTTGGCTGTCAAAAACAGGCTATTTTCTGGCCAAGCACAGTGGCTCACGACTGTAATCCCAGCACTTTGGGAGACCAATGTGGGGGGGAATCACTTGAGGTCAGGAATTCGAGAGCAACCTGGCCAACGTGGTGAAACCCCGTCTCTACTAAACATACAAAAATTAGCCGGGCAGGCCGGGCGCAGTGGCTCACGCCTGTAATCCCAGCACTTTGGGAGGCTGAGGTGGGCGGATCACCTGAGGTCAGGAGTTCAAGACCAGCCTGACCAATATGGTGAAACCCCATCTTAAAAAAAAAAAAAAAAATTAGCCGGGCATGGTGGCACACACCTGTAGTCCCAGCTACTCAGGAAGCTGAGGCAGGAGAATCACTTGAACCCAGAAGGTGGAGGTTGCAGTGAACCAAGATCGTGCCACTGCACTCCAGCCTGGGTGACAGAGTGAGGCTCTTTCTCTAAAAAAAAAAAAAAAAAAAAAAAAAAAAAAAGGCTGTTTTCATCAGCATAGATGAAGTATTCTAGGGAAGGAAAGAGGAGAGAGGGAGAAGTATTTCAAGGGCATGTCAGTGTTTAAAAGTTGCAAAGACCTAGCAAAGGAGAGTGAGAAAGAGTCCTGGGGAGGTAAGAGAAAAATCTCAGAAGGAATGAGAAGAACATGCTTTAGGAAAGAGGCTGTGGCCCATGATCTTCAGTGCTGCAGACAGGTGGAGTAGGATGAGGGTGTCACCCCCAAATAATTCCTTTGTTTTTTCTTTTCTGAGACAGAGTCTTGATCCATCACCCAGGCTGGAGTGCAGTGTCGTGATATGAGCTCATTGCAACCTCCACCTCCTGAGTTCAAACAATCCTCCCACCTCAGCCTCCTCAAGGATAGGATTACAGGTGTGTGCCGCCATGCCTGGCTAATTTTTTTGTATTTTTAGTATGGGGGGTTTCACCATGTTGGCCAGGCTGGTCTCCAACTCCTGACCTCAACTGACCCACCTGTCTCGGCCTCCCAAAGTGCTGGGATTACAGGCGTGAGCCACCGTGCCCAGCCAACCCCCAAATAATTCAAAGATGAAAAAAATGAAGGCAGGCCTGGCACAGTGGCTTACGCCTGTAGTCCTAGCAGTTTGGGAGACCAAGGTGGGTGGATCACTTGAGGTCAGGAGTTCAAAACCAGCCTGGCCAACATGGTGAAACCCCATGTATATAAAAATACAAAAAAAAAAGCCGGGCACGGTGGCTCACACTTGTAATCCCAGCACTTTGGGAGGCCGAGGCGGGTGGATCATGAGGTCAAGAGATCGAGACCATCCTGGTCAACATGGTGAAACCCCGTCTCTACTAAAAATACAAAAATTAGCTGGGCATGGTGGCGCATGCCTGTAGTCCCAGCTACTCGGGAGGCTGAGGCAGGAGAATTGCTTGAACCCGGGAGGTGGAGGTTGCGGTGAGCCGAGATCGCGCCATTGCACTCCAGCCTGGGTAAAAAGAGCGAAACTCCGTCTCAAAAAAAAAAAAATAAAAAAAAAAAAAAAAAGCTGGGCAGGGTGGCATGCGCCTGTAATCCCAGCTACTTGGGAGGCTGAGGCAGGAGAATCGCTTGAACCAGAGAGGCAGAGATTGCAGTGAGCTGAGATTGTACCATTTCACTCCCGCCTGGGCTACAGAACAAGACTCCATCTCAAAAAAAAAGAAATGAAGGTAGTCAGTGGGAGTGTCCCTGAGTATACTGATGCTTTGATCTTAGAGGGCCAGAAAAGCCTCAGAGTGGGTAGCGTTTGCACTGGGCCTTGTAGATACAAAGATTTAAGGCTGAAGAGCATTGCTGTTGGAGGAACAGCAAGGGAGAGAGAGACGTGGAGGTGAGAAGTCCTGGAGTGAGTAGTTAGTTTAACAGAAACCCCCAGGGTGCATTTACAGTCACTGTCCAAGGTGGACTGCCTCATGTGGGAGCTTCCTGTGGCACCGGAAGGAACAGGGTGGCCCACTGGGCTTGTTGCTCCAGGTTGACAGAGGGCGTTCTTTAGAAGGCTCCCTGATGCATGTGCACTGTGGCTCCCCCTCACCCTGGAGCCAGGCCTCTGATGGTGCCTAATATTAGCTATGGCCAGGGCAAGGAAGGCTGGAGACATCAGTTCCTTTTTCCTGGAGGAATGTTTCTGAGGTGTTACCCCTGGGGTCTGAGGATGCTTTTTCTGTCATGTGATATGATTTTGCAGCAAAAATACTAATGTATAATATTTGTGTTGTGGCTTTACATCTTTTTTGTTGTTGTTGCCTTGGACCAGTTAGGAGTCACCCAGCAGATAATACTTATTTATTTGACACTGTGTACATTACATTACAGGATGGTGCAAAGCAAGCCGACAATGACATCCCTCTAGGTAAGTAATTTTGTTTTCTTAAAAATCAGTTGGGGGCCGGGCACGGTGGCTCAAGCCTGTAATCCCAGCACTTTGGGAGGCCAAGGCAGGTGGATCACAAGGTCAAGAGATCGAGACCATCCTGGTCAACATGGTGAAACCCCGTCTCCACTAAAAATACAAAAAAAAATTAGCTGGGCATGGTGATGCGTGCCTGTAATCCCAGCTACTCAGCAGGCTGAGGCAGGAGAATTGCCTGAACCCAGGAGGCGGAGGTTGCGGTGAGCCGAGATCGCGCCATTGCACTCCAGCCTGGGTAACAAGAGCGAAACTCCGTCTCAAAAAAAAAAAAATCAGTTGGCTGTGTGGTAGCATGTGTCTGTAATCTTAGCTACTCAGGAGGCTGAGGCAGGAGAATTGCTTGAACCCAGGAGGTAGAGGTTGCAGTGAGCCAAGATCATGCCATTGCACTCCAGCGTGGTGACAAAAGCGAAACTGTCTGAAAAAAAAAAAAAAAGTCAGTTGGCCAGGCATGGTGGCTCACGCCTATAATCCCTCCTTTGGGAGGCTAAGGCGAGTGGATCATCTGAGGTCAGGAGATCAAGATCATCCAGGCCAACATGGTGAAACCCCATCACTACTAAAAATAAAAAAATTAGGCCAGGCGCAGTGGCTCACACCTGTAATCCCAACAATTTGGGAGACCGAGGCGAGTGGATCATCTGAAGTCAGGAGTTTGAGATCATCCTAGCCAACATGGTAAAACCCTATCTCTACTAAAAATATAAAATTAGCCAGCTGTGGGGCAAGTGCCTGTAATCCCGCTACTTGGGAGTCTGAGGCAGGAGAATCACTTGAACCCAGAGGCAGAGGATGCAGTGAGCCAATATCCTGCCATTGCACTCCAGCCTTTTTGCACTCCAAAAATAAATAAATAGGCTAGGTGTGGTGGCTCACGCCTGTAACCCAAGCACTTTGGAGGCCAAGGTGGGCGGATTACCTGAGGTCAGGAGTTCAAGACCAGCCTGACCAACATGGTGAAACCCCATCTTTATATTTAAAAAAAAAGAAGAAGAAGAAGAAGAAGAAAATAAATAAATAAATTGATTGATTGATTTAATCAAATTTGAAAATTAGCCAGGTGTGGTGGTGGGTGCCTGTGATCCCAGCTACTCGGGAGGCTGGGGCACAAGAATCACTTGAGCCTAGGGGGCAGAGGTTGCAGTGAGCTGAAATTGCACCACTGCACTCCAGCCTAGGCGAGACAGCGAGACTCTGTCTCAGAAAGAAAAAAAAATCAGTCATTTCTCTCATCCCTCACACGTTCCTTCCAGATTTCTCCATCCCAATTAAAGTAAAGAGGCTATCTCTGGGTGTGAAAAGTAGAATCTTTGCAACATATTTAGAATAAGAAATGAATCACGATTCATTCGAGCATGGCCACTTGCGTTGTACTGTGCAATGTACTGCATGAGTAGAGAGCTCTTAATGTTCTCATGACCTGGAGCACTCTACGACAGATGAATTGAAAGAGGAAGACGCAGGAGAATGTATAAGCTACCATTTGTATTTTACATATCTATATCTCTGAAACATGTATTTATTTTTTTTGTTTGTTTTTGAGACACAGTCTCGCCCTATTGCTCAGGCTGGAGTGAAATGGCACAATCTCAGCTCACTGCAACCTCCACCTCCCGGATTCAAGCAATTCTCCTGTCTCATCCTTCCGAGTAGCTGGGATTACAGGCATACGCCATGATGCCCAGCCAATTTTGTATCTTTAGTAGAGATGGTGTTTCACCATGTTAGACAGGCTGGTCTCGAACTCCTCACCTCATGATCTGCCCGCCTCGGCCTCCCAAAGTGCTGGGATTACAGGCATGAGCCACTGTGCCTAGCCTGAAATATCTATTTCTAAATATCTGTATCAGTATATGTGTACCTATATTTTTATCTGTATCTGTGTGGAGGCATATGTGTATGTATCTATATGTGTGTATATATATATATATATATCTGAAAGGAACACCCTGGATACGGTGACTGCCTTGAGGAATAGAGAGATAAGAAGACAGGAGTGAGAGACATTTCCATGTAAATAAACCATTTGCATAACTTTAAAATTTTGTAGCTGTCAAGCAGAAGCAAGGCCTAACAGTTATGGCCTATAAAGAAACAATGAGCCTTTTTTAGACTCAGAGAGTATATGACTTCCATAGACAGTGCGAGGAAGAGCAGCCAAAAGTGCTGGTTCCCTGTGACCCTTGTCAGGGTGACTCTAAAACAGAGGCCAGATGACTGCAACCTACAGGACACCCTGTGGCTGAGGAGCCAATACATGCTGCAGCAAAGCAGTTTTATAGCTTGAAGCTGTGCCCACCTGTAGTCTCAGCTACTTGTGATGCTGAGGTGGAAGGATCCCTTGAACCCAGGAGGATCGCTTGAGCCCAAGATGTTGAGGCCGCGGCAAGCCGTCATTGTGCCACTGGACTCCAGCCTGGGTGCCAGAGTGAGACCCTGTCTCAGAAAAAAACTTGATTTTCCAAAGATGGAAATCCTCTTAAAAGTAGTCCCAAGATAAGTCACTACCGCTCACGGAGGCTTTCTACCACCATGGTGCCACAGTTCTTTGCCATGCAAAATTCTTGCGATTTACCATCCAGTCTTCTGAAATTTTCCCAGTATCATGTCTTCCTTACATTCCTCAGACATGACAAGACTGCTTTTCATTAATTATAAAAGGGGAAGGATGAAACCTCATTTTATAGGTTAAAAACAAACAAAAATGAGACCCAGAAAAAACAGTGAGACTTTGCCAAGATCATGGTCACTTCATGATCGAGCCAGTGTTTGAAGCTAGAGCTCCCAGCTCCTCATTCATCCAACAGATGTTTTAACACTAACTGTGATCTAGGCCTGGGGAACACCCATGAACACACCATGAATTCGATACAGTCCTGCCCTCTTGGAGCTTATAGTCTGTTGAGATTCCACATCTGCCACATCTGGAATGAAAGTAACTCTACCCCTTAGTTTGAACTTTTGAAATGATCCTTGCTTTGAAACAAACAGAAAACAAGCAGCAAAAAGCGAGGGCAGCAGGTCACGGGGAGTGTATGGGAGTAGAAGCAGACAGCCCAGTCCTGATTTTACTTTCTTTGCTGTCTGTGTGACTTTGGGAAAGTCACTTGCTCTGATTTCAGTTTTGACATCTGTGAATAACTTCCAGCTTCACTGATCTGAATGTTACAGTTGGCCCTCTGTATCTGTGAGTTCTGCATCTATGGATTCCACCAACTGTGAATCAAAAATATTTGAAAAAGAGGCTGGGCACAGTGGCTTACACCTGTAAACCCAACACTTTGGGAGGATCATTTTAGCCCAGAAGTTCAAGAACAGCCTGGGCAACATAGCAAGACCCTATAATTACAAAAAAAGAAAACCTTAAAAAATAATCAGCAGGGTATGGTGGCACATGCCTGAAGTCCTAGCTACTTGGGAGGCTGAGGCAGGAGGATCACTTGAGCTCAGGAGTTTGAGGCTGCAGTGAGCTATGATCATGTCACTGCACTCCATCCTGGGTGACAGAGTGAGATCCTGTCTGTAAAAAAAAAAAAAAAAAATTGAGCCGGGCGCGGTGGCTCAAGCCTGTAATCCCAGCACTTTGGGAGGCCGAGGCGGGTGGATCACGAGGTCAAGAGATCGAGACCATCCTGGCCAACAAGGTGAAACCCCGTCTCTACTAAAAATACAAAAAATCAGCTGGGCATGGTGGTGCGTGCCTGTAATCCCAGCTACTCAGGAGGCCGAGGCAGGAGAATTGCCTGAACCCAAGAGGCGGAGGTTGCGGTGAGCCGAGATTGCGCCATTGCACTCCAGCTTGGGTAACATGAGTGAAACTCCGTCTCA